AAGGGAGCGCCCTTGGTCGATAAACACCTGAGAATGAAAGGAAACAAAATGGTGTGACTGTTGAAAATAATATTAAATCCTTTTTCAATTGCTTAATACAACCACCCAATGAGCTTTTCACCAAGGCAAGAACAGAGGAGGGTATTTCCTTTACCACTTGAAGTAAAATGGTGATTAGTTTGATGTAAGGCCCTGTTCGCACTATGCAATATTTTGTTTGCTTTGCTAAAAAATCTGTCAACAGGAAGCCATTTCTAGTGTCAACAATTTTTTCTCAGAGACGACATCGAGAAAATTTGGAGGCCTATCTTTTTTTGTCAGACAACAAAGTCTTTTGTTCCTTGACAGCTATTCTTCATTGGATCATCTTATTTCATGAATGTGACCAGTTATAGTACCTTTTATTAACTTTTTTGGTTACAAAAAAACTTTTTGCGGCTTCAGGTGCAAACAAGGTTACAAAAACGAAAAATTAGTGACTATGAAATTTTCAAATTTTTTGCAAAAGCCAAACCCAATTTTTCGTCGTAATGCAAACAGGGCCTTAGTCTCAAAAATGCCTTTGTTTTAATGCAAATGTACAGTGTTAAGGCATAAAGCTCTAATGAGGAAAATTATTGCAGTGTTCTCACGAGGATTTTGCCTTGGGGAGTCCCAGGGCCCCATCTTCTGAGAAATAGGGGCCCTGTAAGAACATTAGGGGGACAAAGTTACAAAAAACACGTGGTACGAAGAACCCGAGCCCGCACTCCAAATTGTCTGTTACATGAAGTACCTACCTGATCCAATAAGGCAGAAGAGGTGTTTACGATTCGGAGGAGGAGTTTACGATGTAGTGGGACGTGCGTGGGACCAATGAAAGTAAAGGCAACAAAATTAAAGACTTTGACTCATTTGATATCATGTTTTTTATTTATTCAAACAAACAGAATGCTTTAGTGTTAGGTTGACCATTAAAACTACTTAAGTCCGTTTGACTCGTAGCTTGCCCCTGCGCCCTAACGGGCGCATCTTATTGGTTTTAATGCGCCATTTCAGTTTTTCTTGCGGGAATCCCGCAAGGCTGCAGCCTGGTGAGAACACTGTTATTGTATCCTTACAATACTGTAAATGGGACTGCCATTTCTACATGTACATACAAAGTTCTTAACCATAACGAGCAGAGCAAGAATCCATCCAGAGCCCACTAAATAAAAACATCAGACCACAAATGTTTTTAAAATTTCATAACTGACCACATTATTTTATTCACAAAGTATGCAAAAAATACTTACTATTAGGTATTCTTGTTGCTCCATAACCTTTCCGATTCCGCACAACCACAAGGATTATAAACAGAACAAGCGGCCACGCTATCTCCACAAGATTTCTTAACTAAAAATGCAAAGTTTAAAGTAAGTAGAATGACCATGTAACAAAACTAGTTCGGGCATAATCTTGTATGACACCTTTAACTATTGCATGACTTTTCTTATTCATTGCACAAAGTACATTGTAGTTAATAAACCTTTGGTAGTTGAGTTAAAGAGGGCAGCTATATACCTTGCTATTAAAACTGAAGCTTACACGTGTTACTCCATGATCTGTTGCCCAGTGATATAATATGAAGGTGCTTTCTTCAAGTTCATACTGGGTATTTATAAATTAAAGGAAGGGTGGACTAAAAAATATATGAAAATGGTGTGGCAGAATCTGGATTTCTAACTCTTTGAATCCAAAACATGACCTCCTTTCCCAGTCAATCACTCGTACATTGTACATTCCCCCCCCCTCACCCAGAGCACTCAGGGGCAGTTTGGGTACAGATGTAACCCCAAGGCTTTCAAACACTGACCCTAGTGAAGACAGAAATAATTCATTTTGCTATCCAGTGTGGAGTAAAATACTCAAGACCGCTTCCCTGACGATCAATTTTTTTAGATGTAAAAACAATTGCAGGCATGCGAACAGGGCTCGAAAAAAAGTTCCGTCTGCCAGGGCTGTCTGAGACAAGTAGATATCCTGGTTGGACAAATAACATTTTAACCTCACTTGATGGGCGAGGGTAAGGGCATGTCATCTGGTAACTAAATCATTAGCTAAGACAAGCAAGCAATTGCCCTGGGCAAGCGAAATGTGGGAGCTGGCTGATTTTCCTTTGTCCTTTGGACAAACTGGAATTCAAGCTTTTTTAAGCCCTGATCACAGGGTCTTAGGTGTCTCATTCATGTTACAATAATTTCCTACCAGTGTCTTCAAGAATTATGTCATTATGTTTTCAACGTTTTTTTAATATTTATTTGTAATTTCCTCAAACAACTTTAACCCTTTGACTCCTGAGTGTGCTTTTAGGTGCGCTTCCAAATAAGGTGTACATTTTGACCCAAAAAAGGCTCCAAAAGGCTCCATATTCTGTCAAATGACACTTTATGTTGCTGATATGAAGCTGTTTATCATATGATACCATTTCAATCACTTTTTCGCCATTTTGGACTAACTTTTTGGCAATATTCTTCGCTGTGCTAACGATAACCTTTAAAAATGGCGTCAGACACGAATGGAGTTGATCGAACTATATTCAGAGCACCGTATTTTAGCGGTGATTCAGGTTAGGTGAAGGTTAGTCCAATTAAATGGACAAAGATACCGGCAACAATTCAGAGCTTGAGCATGCAGATACACGGTGTGGTGGTCGAGAAAATATCGAAGAAAGAGAGCAAGCGGGCGCTTTGGTGGCCACAAGATGTACAGTGTCAACTGTAAGAGACTGTTAAAGGCAAAAAGCTCTCCAAACAAACGTTAAGTTAATACATATAATTATATACTTTGAAACCCTAATATGTCTACTTTCTAAATATGTACGATTATAGGCACTTTTACCTCAAAGGGAACTTTTTAGATGTTGTTTAGTGTATGTATGTCAAAACTGAAGCAATATGACGGAAAAACTCAGGAGTCAAAGGGTTAAGTAATATCTTATTGCAGTATTCAGAAAGTAAATGTCTTCAAGACAATAAAAAATTAACTTCAATAGCCATCTTCCAGATATTACACCAAGTCATGAACTAGCAACCAATAAATATAAGATTTATTTTTAGATTTCCAAATGTAACCAGGAACATATATTGAGTGAACCAGTGGGTTATGATTTAAAATCCAAAAGGATCTGATAAAAAAGACACTACGCATGACTCTGAGGAAGTTGATCACAAAAGATAGGAAAAAGTCATTAAAGAGCATGTTCAATACTATAAAAGTTCCTTCCTCTGAATCATGTGCTTTACCTTGCCATGTTTCAAGTGTTTATAAAATTATTTAGACTATTGTCCACTAAGTCCGGACATGCGAATTTTCGAACCAATATTATTTCTTCATTTTAGATTGATTGTAATATTATGACAAAGCTTTTTTTTCTTTGATCGAAAATGGTAAATTTCTCTAGCACCATATTTCAGTAACCAAGCAATCGTGAAGACTACAAAATATTTCTTGAAACAGATCTTTTTTCAGCACACGCAAAAGTGTGCGAAGGACGGGGTCGTTCGTTTACAGAGGGCTGATACGGACGTCAGAGAAAATGTTACGTCATCACCACATAAGAAGGATGCAATTTGAGCGGCGAAAAAACCCATTGGTCTTCCTTTTGACAGAAAAAATAAAATTCTGCAGCTTAAATAAAGTGAATAAGTCATTCTAAGCACGTGCTTTGATATACTTTTAAAGCGCGCTATGTCCCAAGGAAATCGACACGCACTTTACGGACGAATTTATCGAGCTCACCAGACCTACATGTAAGAGTTCTTCGAAATCATATCACGGAAACGCGATCGGCTAAAGGAAAACGATGCTAAAATAGGACAGTGAAGTGATCTTGATTCTAGCATTAACGCTTAATTTTACAAGTACTCAAAGAAAAACGATTTATCTTGTTTGCAAACCCGCGGAGATAAAAGCTCGCCCAGAGGAACGAACACCACAGGTACCGGTACACTCAGCTAGAAGAAGCAGCTGCTACAAAGAAAACAAGCTTTTCCACTTTTTTTTTGCAAATGTAAGAACGGAATCGAATCGGCAGTCGTTTGCTGTACGCAAATTACATAAGCAATTTAGAATCACGACGTATAATGACTAAATTAAACTTACGTGTTGGCGTTTTCGAAGCGAGAAGTTCTTCCACACGAGTAACTTGAGTTGGTCAAAGAATTTCATTGTGGAAGGGTCCTGAGTGTTGGAACCAAAGGATTTTCGGCCAAAAACTGAAAATAAAAGATACAATTGCTTTTAATGGATCACCTTAGAAAAGTGAAACTGAAAAAGCGACAAAATGAAAGCGAGATTTTCGATTTTGACTCACCTGGACTGAACTGCCTGAAGGGACGCAGCAAGCTTGACCGGACTTCAATTTCCTTTCGTCGAAATTTAATATATTTTTTCCTCCATGCGCGCGTTCTTCAAAGATTCACAGTACCGACAACTGAGGTCTTCGACGATCTGTTTTTGTGTCTTATCTGCCGACCGATTAATGCACGGATGTAAATAAAACGTGTTATTAGCAGAAAGAACAACGTTCGACGTCTGAAAGCTCAGGTTTTCCTGTCCTTCTTCTCAAAACGGATTTGTTTATCATGTGAACATAGAAGACCTGGGTACTGCCATGTCATTGGCAGTCATGACGTATGTTCGAGCTGGGAAAATCGATTTTCTGGCAAGTGTGCAAAATTTCGTTGTCTGGCACAAAAGTGAATCACAGAAAGTGTATTTATGGAGTAAACTAAAAAAATCGTCCCTTTTTGATGCTCATTTAGAAATTCCATCCAAACGATTTTATCAACATTGCGCAAGGCCCGGGGGCCGAGTGAACAGTTGAATGACGTCATCTTCGGTCAATAATCGTTAAAACTCGGAATGCTATCTACATTAGTAACCAGTCCTCCCACGTCCACTATGTTTTACATGCCTGGCACTTTGAAACAGGTGCAGAGGAAATGAGCCTATTTGCCTTTGTTTTTGTTGTTGAATAGTGGGTTAAAAGATTTCCAACGCAGAAAATTGCTCGGAATACTTGAAAGGTAAGTTAATCTCATCCGTGTGAAATAATATTGATGATGCAGCTGATACCAACGTCAAAGATCACCCGAGCCAGAAATTACTTGAAATCTCTGCTCTGACGCCCAGCCGGAGTATGTCAACTGTTTATTTTTGCTTCTCCGTTTGTCTTCACGTTAAATAATCTATTTAACCCCCAATAATTACAGCTTAAATATTTAGGTGCCGTTTCGTGTTAATTAAAAGACCCATACGTGCGCATTAAAATAATGTCTAAGTAAAATTCTAATCAGTTTCGTCATCACTTAAGCTACCAATTGTGATTTTTTCTTCTTCTCTTGCAAACATGTCACACAGCCGACCGATTAATCACACAGTGATATAAAAGTGTGCTTAAACCATGTTTTAATGACGCAAAATCAAATGAAATCTCTAATGTAAATGTTTTATGAATTCATTTAAATCGATTGATAAATATAATGCTTTAACCTGTAAAAATCAGTTAAAAAGGATATGAAAAGAACCTTTAAATTCTTTTTTGTAAAATTTTAATTCGGTGCACAAGAACGCAGAGCTTAACATTTCCTTTCTGCTCTATGTTCCTTGAGTCAGAAAAAATAAGAAAAACGCCTTCCAAAAAAACCATAGAATAAATGTTTATTGGGAGTCATGAACAGTATTAAACACAGATCCCCTGCTGACATATTCATGAATTTCCAAAACCAATGGAAAATACTTAATAACCAATGACAGAATCTTAAAAACAGTACTATTATCTTAACAGCTGGAATGTAATGTTTGGTTTTACAGTTTTCAAGACAAGCAAAAGTTTTTTTTTCAGTGGAGGATCCAGGGGAGGGCTCCTCCCCCCCTGATTTGTAAACCAAATGAGGCCCAAAGGGCCGAAAAAAATTTGTTTTGAAATGCCTGAAATCACATTGAAAATGACAGTTTTATAGTCTGATTTGGGGTCAGAATTCGAATAATTAGAACTGGGCAGCACAGCTCCACCACGAATTCCCTGGAATACCCCCTCGGGAGGTAGATCTACCCCCAGACTAAATCACTAGACAGAACTCTGTTCAAGCCCTGAACCACTGATTAAAATAGTTACTTATATTAGTGTAAATAATTATTACTACAATACATACATCATACATTTATTTAGCACATCCCCATCTGGGACTATTCAGTGATCAAATAGGATTACAAAATTAAAAATATACAGGATTACAAGAGCAAAATCTATACATTTTAACCTATTCACATAATTTGGGCAACAGTTTACAATTTATTGATTAAATTGAGAAAAATACCTTTTCACAGATTTGGTATTAAGCAGTTCTATTTATTTTTTCAAACAATACCATAATCTAGAACAGTGTACATCACATAACAGTGCCTATTGAAACTTGTCAATGCATATTTTTTACCAATCAAAAGTATACCTGTTATTTGTAGTTGGAAATTGGTGAAACATCGATCCAAAAAATTTTTTTGCAGACCTGTGGAGGTAAGTAAACATAAAGCAAATGTTAAAGAGCTGATTCTAAATAAATAGAGGATTGTTAAAGGAAGCAAATTAATTATAAAATGATAAGAATATGTATGGTAAGCCTCCATTACCTTAATTTTGATCGACCACTGAGTGTTTTTTTTCTTTTACAGCTCAGGGACTTTTCAACATATAAAATATATACTAGTTATCTTGAGGAAACCTTCATTGTGGTTTTAAATATGGACGCCAGTGATTGCCAAGGTTGTTGCTATGGCAACATAGAGACCGAAGCTAGCAACAGAGACATGATAGAGAAACATGATACTGTTTATTGTCAAGAGTTTCAACAACATACCCAAAGCAAGGATCCTGTTAGTCCAGATCATCTGAAACACTCTGTTCCTGATGACAACTTGACAAGATTGTCAAACATGAATATCTGCATTGGTGATGAAGTACATAGTGCTAATGAACCAATGCCACACCAATACTGGTCATTGGCAACTTTTCCACCGGAGTTAATTCTTGTGATCTTTTCATATCTTGATGCACGTTTTACATTAAGGGTGTTGGCATGTGTATGCAAACTGTTCCATAGTCTTCTATCATCTGAATCTAGCTGGAAAACAAGATTTGGTAAACGATGGCCAAGAAGGAACAACAGGGAAGATTATGACTTTGTATCAAGGTTTGAGTGACAGTTTTGCTGATGTTGCCACTGTGGTTTCTTAAGCTCCCATAACAAGTTTCCAGTAGGCACTGTGTTTTTAACTTATATTAATTTTGTTTTGTAGTTGGAAGAGAATATGTGTTCAGCAAGAGGATCTGGACAAGTTTTGGCATGATCCCACGTCCTCTCTGGACTTTTATCAGCTAAAAGATCAGCATTTTGCTCCAGTGGATACAGTTCACATCATGAATAGTGCTAATCTGTGCATCTCAGGGGCGAGAGATCGTGCAGTGGGTGTGTGGAGTCTATCAGCTTTAGCAGATCCCCTGGAGGAAGGATATGCTAAGAAGTCTTTTAAGCAATCACTTGATGGGCACAGGGTATGTTTACATCTTGTTACAACAAGATTTGGTAAACTCCGGAGGCAGCGTTGCCAAGTGGTCAGCACGTTAGACTCACAATCTGATGGTTCCAGGTTCGAGTCCCGCCCTGTTCACTTGCTGGGTTTGTTTTCGGTTGTCCCAAGTTCAAATCCTTGGCCACGCTTGTAAATAGCGGACTGGTTCCCTCCTGCCAGTTGGGTTTTTAATCCTGTTATGTTATATTTAAATTATTTGTTTCTAAGTATTTAAGTGGAGTGCCTGTAAACTAGCTGAGTAAGCTAAGTGTAACTTTGCACTATAAACAAGCCTTTAAACCTTTAAACAGTTAATATTAGTAGTAATAGTATTAAAGGTTTTTCATTGATCTTATGATGGACACAGAGTTTGTGACATTCAAGTTGATCCTTGGCATGTAGCAAGGCCATGTAGATGGCTTCAGAGTTAGGTTGGTTCCTGAAGAAATAGCATTATTAAGATATTAATTAATTAAATTACAGGGCTGATTACCTCACTGATCTCTTAATAGTGCTTGGACATCTCTCAAGGGACCTGAGGATAAGTGATATTCATTGATCAATAGTCTAAATGAGTTAGCTGATCTCCTGTGTGTCACAGTTATACCAGTAGGTCTAAAATACAGGTCACTTGTCCACAGGTCAGAGTACAGGTCACCATGATACAGATAAATGAATAGCATTATAAGCGTCTCCTAGCTCTGACCTCTTAAAATAATGCTCTGTTAGATTGAGGGGAATCTGTGTGGTTTAGTAATTTATCAATGGAGCAGTGACCTGTATACTTGAACTGTGGAACGTGACCTGTACATTAGACGTGGCCCAGTTATACATAATTGTAATGCATTTATAACACTTTGGTGATTTCAGGGTTGGGTTTGGTGCCTTGGTAGTGACCCCACAGGGGCTCCGAGAGTGTGCTCAGGATCTTGGGATGGTAACATCAAATTGTGGGACCTTCAGGGACAAAGTGCTGAGATGACTACAATCAGGTGCATAATATTGAATTGACAGATAGTTACAGTGTGGTGTTTCACTCAATCTCACAATTAAGGCCCACCTTCATCTTATCCTTCATCTTATGGGTTATATAACCATTTGGTTTTCTAATCAGGGGTGTCAATAAGCACCGACGGCCAACGAAACACATCACGGGCTACTTTGCTCAAGAAGTCGGCTACTTTTTTCTAGAAAGAAGAAGCAACTAGTTTGAATAACGTTGTAAAGGAAAAATATATCATAAAATCTGAATGAAAATGTAATAATGTGTTTTCGTAATATAAAGGCCCATTGGTTTTACGTTATGCTTTAGTTATGTGAACACTACATTTCAGTTATTTTTTCACAAGTTTCTTTATAGGTTTAAAAAAGTATGTAATTTAGTTCATTTGTTCGTTGCTTCCATGAATTGTTTGTGCGACTGATAAATTTAATATAGAAAGCTACATTTTCTTGAATGAAAAACATACTCTTCTGTCCTCAATTTTAGTTCCCAGAATGCTGAAAATGGCATTTTAGGGCTTTGAAGTTTCAAAATTTTCTTGGGCAGACCCCGCTCATCCCCCTACCCCCCTAGGAAAAGGGGACTAACGACCCCTTGTTGATGACTTCAATTTTTATTGAAACCCCTTGCTAATTTTTAAAAACCTTGCATTCTTTATTTTAGCAATTTAGTATTGGTTGATGCTTTGAAATGATGGAGTTTTATGTCGTAGAAAGTTTTCTTTGGTGTGAAGTGCATCCAGGGAAACCTTTAAAAACCTGCATATACACCAACATAAATACACATACTTAAACAACATATACACATAATAATTACTAATCATGAAGTATGTCTCAGCTGGATTTATATGAAAAGTTGTCTATACCTTAGGTTTTTGGATCAACAAACACTCACAAACATTTAAAAAATGCCCTGTATGGTTTCTAAAATAATGGTATCAAAGAAAAGTGCTACTTGGTAGTCTTCTCTCGATGACCAAACATGTATGTTTTGGGCATGGCTCATTGATTGTTGCAGAAATCAAAACACACTGTATAGAATCGAAGTAAACCCTCAACATGGCACAAAATTGACCACTACAGAAAATACCATAACATACCATAATGCTCTTTGTTTGTCACCCCAACATTTTGCATAAGCATTGTTTTCAGTTTCTCTTGGGACGATTTTAACTCCCAAGAGAAACATGCAAAATTTTGGGATGACTAACAAAGAGCATTATGGTATGTTATGTTGTTTTCTTTAGTGGTCAATTGCATTACAGCTCTAATTTGATTGGTCACATGTTAGGATTTGCATACAAAGAATAAAATTAATGCTGAGATGAGACCCATCAGGGTATGAAACACTGCTGAAATTCTCTGATAGTCTTGTTTTGCAAACCATAGTTAGTAGAGGATTCAAACCAGTAAATGCCTGAGCATCAAAATCTGGCTCAAGTATATGGTATTGGCCAGACTGCAGAGTTCTGTGCTGTGGTCACCTCTCTGAGATGTTTTAACATAAAGTCCTGTATCGTTGTTGTCCCTTTGTCGTGAACTCATTTAACAGGTATGTTTTTTTCTTTTTTTTGAACTTACAGTGCCCATAAGGCAGCTGTGTTGTGTTTGTCTTGGGAACAGGATATGCTAATTTCTGGCTCTTATGACAGAACCATTGTCATGTGGGATCTTAGAGGTAAGTGAAATCACTCATCTTACCCTGGCCTATTGTTTCATTGGCTCAACTCAAGCTGTTGCATTTATCATAATAATAATTGTATAGATTTAGCCAGGCCTAAATGTGAAGCATTTGCCTATACATTTATACATGAAAGACCTTGATTCTTTGTTATCCTTCTGCTTATTTTATAACAACTTTAAAAGGCCACAGCCATTAACAGAGCCGTGCTTTTAGTGCTGAGTTAGTGATTTTATGTAACTTTGCATGTAACTTTGAAACAGTAAATAGCTTGAATTCTTCCTTGTTCTGCCAGCTGGAAATTTTGAAAAAAAAAACTCTTTACAAAGGCACACTAAACCTGTGCTGTGTATTACTGTTATAAAGTTGATACCATCCATCAGTTAATAGCGGGGCTGCCATGAAAGCCAAATGGCAAAACACAGTAACTGATATTATCAGGGGTATCATATTGGCAAGAGGTTTAAGGTGTAATGGAGTAGCTTTGGTCATTTTTTCTTATTATTCTGCCTGGTGATTCTACAAGCACGTTTAAGGTTGCAGAAAACCTTAACTGTGTCTATTAAGCATCCATTGATTAATATTTCAGGGGATTTGTGAAAGCCAAATGGTAAATCACTGATAACGGGTCCTACTGTTCAATGAAGAGAGGTCTGCAATTTCATGAAAGTGATGGGCTCATTTTTTTATTATTTTAGCTGGTAATTCTATGAGTACTGTAAGAAAAACACACTAAATCTGTATCATGTCTTACTGTGAAAGTTAGTACTATGTTTTAATAACTAGCAGAGGTGCCATAGAAACCAGCTATCCTGTACTGGCCATGAATTTGGTCTCTTAATGGAAGCTGGCCTGGTTAAGCGGTTAACATGGTTCTGATTCTTTCTTCAACATTCCAGCTGGCAATTCCATAGGCTCTTTAAAGAACCACAGTAAACCGGTCCTTTGTCTTACTGTTGATGACCGTTTTATCATCAGTGGAAGCGAGGATAAAACACTCTCCGTGTACGACAGAAGGGCTGCTCAAGTTTATAAAAGTGTTAAGGTACCGTTTGGTGTTCCTTCACTATATAATGAATAATTATCTAAAGTAATGAAAAAGAGTATGATCTTTAAAGTAAAACTAACAACCGAAGCGGTTGAAAAAGAACCTGAAAAAGTTCAGGCTTGATCGGAATCGCATCCTGACCTTTGTTATGACCAGACGCAATGCTCTATCCATCGAGCTAATCAAGCTAACTGGAGAGCAGGCCATTGTGAGTTCGTAATATACCCGATGGTGGAAATCATATTAATTGAAATATGAAATGAAACATATTATGAAGCGCCAATAAAGATATGAAAGTAAGCATGATCTTCACAGTAGAATGAACAACCTATTAAAGGGGTTTAAAAAGAGCAAGAAAAAATTCAGGCTTGACCGGGAACAAACCCTGATGCACTTCATACATTTCAGTTCATAATAAAAATTATCTAAAGTATTCTCCTTGTTAAGGTTGCTTAAATGCCGAGGGTTGTCCAATACACCCGCACCGTAACTGTCCGTATAAGCCATGTGTCGATCCGTACGGATCGAACGGATCGACAACAGGGGTATACGGTCTGTAAAGAGTGTTTTACGGTCCAGGTTAGTTGTGAGGATTTCATGTAAGTAAAAGTTCCCATGTGTAGTGTTTTTAGTGTTTTTGTACCCTTTAGAAACGTCTTGTATATTTATATTATAAATAAAAAGCTGAAGCATTTTTTTAATAGCTATGGTTTAACCAAATTAGGCAAAGCATTATTGCTTTCTGGTGTACGTTAGTGATACCTGGTGTACTTTAGTGATTTTTTGGTGGTTCATTTGACAGTTATAAGGCTTTTTGCTCAAAAGTCAGTGCTTTTTGGTAACGGTTAACTTACATTTTGAACGTTGGATTGTCGTCCCCAGCTTAAAACTCCAGTGTTTAGCTTGTGCCAAAGCTCCACATGTGGCTACAATTACCTGAGAGTCGGGGGCAGAGATGGCCGCCTGCACATGCTGGATACAACTGCCGATAGATTTGAGGAACTAACAGTGAGTTGAAAGATTCTTTTGGGATTTAGCAACATCTAGTATTTAGGAGATTTAACAGCAAGACTATAAAAAGGACCCTATGCAACAACAAACCATAACAGGCGAAAGAATTGGCACTTTTTTTGCCATCCTATACAACTGCGACATAGTAACTACGACGAATTTATCTTCTCTCTCCGAAACTTGGTGCAGTACCTAAAACTGATTCATTTCCTAGAAAATCTAACTACACTTTTTCGAATTGGACTCATATAAATTCCCAACAAACTTAGTATTTCATTTCATTTCATTTTTTGGTTTATTCAGATATTTACAATTTTTAATTATTTTCTCAGGCGACCTTTTGTGCAGTTGAATAACTAGAGAGCACATCTAATTTAACTAGAGAAAATAAAATTCATCGTTGGATGTCTACCACCTTCATAAAATGTCCCAACTGGAAATTACACGTCTTAGTTCGCAGAGGATAACAACTTAGAAATGTACTAAACAGTGCCGGATCCACACCTTGAGATAAGGGGGGCCCGCTCATCTAGACCCTTAGATAAGGGGGGGGGAGGGCGGTCTCCAAAAAAAAAAAAATTCGGTCCTTCGGGCCTCAGTTTGGTCTAAAAATAAAGGGGGGACGCGCCCCTTGGGCCCCTCCCCTGTATCTGCCACTGCTAAAGAGAGTGATGAAGGGGCAAATTTGTTATGTCCGTCACAATCTGATTCTGGGAGTCTTTAAATATTTACATGTGGTGCGATACTTGAATGATGTGAGAAGGTTTTTATTCAACAACATGTGTATAAGCGAGACAGGGAGCTTCTTATATGTGGCTGATTGTTTGTTCACTGTTTTTAGCCCAGTATAGAACTAGGACAGGAATCAAATGGAAAAATCTCTGGAATCTGCCACTACGGCGGTGCAGTTGTTGCTTGTTCAACTGACAAAAGTATTAAGGTACGACATATTAAAGCGGCTCTGTCATGGCTGTTTACTTTGTTTTTGAGCGACTCACGTCAACCGGGAGTGAAGCAATCTCCCTTTTAATGTGCCTTGAAGCAACAAAAGTTGTGTGCTTAAGTGCCTTTAAAGGAGCTGTGTCACAAAATTCAGCTAAATTAGGAAATTACAAAATGCCCGTTAAATTAAGAGAAACATAAAAATAACCGCTTAAAACTTTAAAGGAAGGTTAAAATAACATAACAGAAATAACAGATGCCACGGATGGGCACGACTGAAGAAGATTGAAAACGGATTGAAATTAGGGTTTTTGAAAACTGTTCAGCCTAACAGTTTTTCAAAGTTGATCCCTGCTGCTTACAACTTCAAAAATAATGCTCAGGAGACATATTTGTTTGAGTCGGATCTCTGATTTTGTCAATTACATGTAATTTCTTTGCTTACATGTACTTTAAGTTCCATAGCAATTGAGGGCGAGTAATTGGGAAATGAACTAGACTGCCGTGACACAGCCCCTTTAAGGTCCCTAATATTAACCATTGGAATGTGGGATTCAAGTTCCACTGACAAAGTATCTGGAATCCAGGACCTAGATTCCGGAATCCACAATCCAAGACTGTCTTGGATTACTACATACAGTGAAACCTCTATTAAGCGGATCCCCAATTAAGTTGACACCGTCTATTAAGCTGACACTAAGCCAGGTCCCGCAATTAACGACGTATACTTCTCTTTATAACGAACCCTATTGAGCGACACCTCTATTAAGCGGACACAGACACTAAGATAAGTTTTATTTGGCTAATTTCTATTGTTAAAAACCTCTTTCAAGCGGACACCGGACTGAATTGACGATAGTAGTATTGGATTACGTCCTTGAAATACGGACTGAAGTCAGTTAATGTTTTTGCATTTACAAACAAATTAAAGTTGGTAATGAAAGGTGATGAACTTGAACTCTGGATAGCTTCTTTACCAACATGCAACTTTATCACAGTACACAGTAACCGTTCGATGTTGATCCGTAACAAACATTGCACAATTTCTACAACCTCTATTAAGCGGACACTTAGGAAGGTCCCGAAGGTGTCCGCTTAATAGAGGTTTCACTGTATCTTACATGAGGAAAACTGTCATACGATGTCTGGTAAAATGACAGGGATGTTAGAAAACTGAATAAAGTTTTGATATCTCAGTGCATCGCCCAGTTTCCTTTAATGTGTCTCTATCTTAACTGCCCCTCACAGAATGTCAAGTCAACGAGCCGCCAGGAGAAACGATTGTGTATGTCTCGGTGTTAAATCGTGCCGAAGAGTAGATCACTTTACATGCAACTCAAAGAGGGTGTTGTTTGTGGCGGAGTGTAGTACTCATCTTAATGATCGTCAACCACTAATATCTGTTGCCAACTTTTGTCCGTTTATTTGGTGTTTGTTCTACAGGTATTGGAACCGTCCCGTGTTCTTTCCGTTATTCATACATTTGACTGTCATACCGGAGAAGTAACAGCGGTAAGTAAAAGTTTCTTTGATAGTTCGGCTGTTTTTTACGTTGTCACACAACTCTCTTCCCTCCTAGTTGGAAGAAGCGTTGCGTGACGACACCCAGAACTGTGGTGTAGCAGACAACGTAGTCTCTTACGTAGCTGTATTTTTTACGTCATGCACAGCTCCGCACCACACTGCGTGACAACAAAAACAGCTGCTACGTGGGCTTCACTCAGCCTGCGTGCAGGCGTTGAAAGGGGAAATGGGGAGGAGGGGAAATCGGGCGCTCTTCACCCCATTCCAGGAGCGCCAGAATTCCCCCCCCCCCCCTTCCCCTTTTCCCTTTTGAAGCCTGCCATACAGGCCACGTGATAAAAAGTGGTGAGATGAGAGGTTATAGAAGTCTGCCTCACGTCAATATTGCTAGATCTACTGGATCAAGGACGAGGAATTGCTCAAACAAAAATCCCGCAGGCAAAATAAAAATCCCGTTGTCCCGTAATAATTCACATATTCAGAGCCTACATCGGAGGTTGATGTTGGCTTGTGCTGATAGTATTGAGCACAGACCGTCGACAGGTACATGCGCGCAAGGTTGAGAAACCCGTCGTATCTTGAAATGTGAAATATGACTTATTGCGCACATCCTCGCTTCAGCATTTTTTTTTTCTTAATCTATTTTCTTGCCTCAGAAAGTTTGTATAAAAATTATTGTAATTTCCTTTCAGGTAAACAGCGGAGGCTCGGTGTTAGCATCATGTTCAAGTGACCTTACTATTGGGATATGGAGACCCAAAAGTCTGAGGCCCGTGGCGATTATCTGATAACAATGATGCTGGTGGTATTAATGTTGGCGTCATGTTCTGATAATTGCGTGCTTGCCTGGATCAATTCTGGCGTAAGGATGTGGCTGACAAGCCCAAACCAAGACTGATGATAACAGTAAAGCAAGTACATGTATGTCGGTCACAAATAACAATGAGCTGGTTTCTGTAGTTGCACTATAACTGATGACGAGATTGAGGAAAAAGCGAGTTTACGCAACGAAGACGACGGCGGCATCGAGAACTTAAGCGATAGGTTTAGACAAGCAAAACAACAACTTTGCACGTGCATCACGCTTTTTTTGCACATTTCTCTGCAGTCGTTGCACGACTACAACGTGAAACTGCCTAATTTCACGTTTTGTCGAGGACGGGAGCAAAAGCAGGGCTCAAAATAACGGCCGGTCAACGGACAATGTCCGGCCTGATCGCGGACTTGACCGGTCAAACTCTCGTCTGGCCGGTCATTTTGACCGGTCATCTTTGGATACGAACATTTTATAATATTTTCCATAAGTTGTCGCTTAATGCGTTTTGCTCAGTCTATAACGCTGTAGTGACTTCTTTCTCTTTGGCTTTTTTTTCTTTACTGCTTCGCATTAACGGCTGTAAAGAAAAAAAGGACGCCGCAATAAATTTCATGTCGTCATGTCGTAATTGAAATGCTACAAAGCGAAACAACAACGAACTGCTGGAGTGACGCAACGATGCAGCAGGTGGTACTGCGCTTTCTGCTTGTGCTAAAGTCAATAGTGTGACCGTCTTTGGGAAAAATACACTAACGATAATCTGTTATCCGTTAGAAAACTAAAGGATAGCTAAAAGTTTTGTCCATCTAATAAACTTTCTTTTCAGCACTCTGCTGAACGTAACTCAGTCCACCTCTGATAAAGGTTATTTTTGTGTCTACTGATGAAGAAGGCTTCTCCACTGGTAAACGATGCTTTTTAATGTCGTTTACTGATGGGGTCGGCGAAAAGGAGAGGAACTCCACCAAAATCAGCCATTTAAACTTACGAGGTTTATTTTCCTTACTCGCAAGGCGGTTCTACATTCTTCCTGATGTTCCTCTCTTTCTCTATCTATAACTGCTTACCCTTCTTCCTTCAGTTCCTTAGCAGCTCGCTATTTGTTTTTGGTCGTTTATAGTTTATTTTTTCCTCCATTTATTTGTTTTACAAGCCATTTATATTGTATTACAAGATTGAAGAATTAAAGACGCTATTTGTAGAATTAAATATCAGGTTACAAGAATAAATGGAGAGGGCAGGAAATAGTTAAACAAATTACTTGCCCTTTGATTAAATTACAGTTTTATTTAGGTTAAAAGAGAAAAAAAGAGAAAAGTATAAACCCTATAAACTATGAGAAATATATGAAAAATATTCAAAAGAGAGGAAAAAAGAAAAGCACATACACACACACTCATAAAAAAATGTAACATTTGAGAGTCGGTGTGGCGATGATTAATACTGAGCAAGATAATAGTTGAAAAGTGCTCTTTTAAACAATTTTTTAGTTGTTTTTTCACGTATAGATAAAGGAATATCATTCCAATAATAGCATCCTACGACTGTAGGACAGAATTTTCTTAAATTTATTCTAAAGCTACTGGGATTAAGGTGTTGCAGGGATGCACTTCTTGTGTCTTCATTCTATTCATTTTGGTCGTTGACCATATGTCTACATATATAATAATGCGTAGGATGTATCTGCCAACAAAAAAGAGCCCACCACAAAACCCTATCTAGCTAAGTCAATTACTAAAAACGTAGAAATGTCCATTTAAAAGATAACTATCTTCCGAGGGATGTCAAATTTGGAGACGAGATGTCCCATTCTCAAAAAGCACACTGTTAATATTTATGTTTCTGCATGCAAAGCTTATTAGTAAATTGCCTATTCATTACGTTGCATTTTTAAAGTAAACAGTTAGAATGCTCTAGAACCTTAAAAGCCTATTGATCGGATATTTATCGAACTTTTATTAACTTTCCATATATCTTCAAAATCGGGAAGATAAGTCCTGTAACACATCTAACGTTTCACATCTAACGTTTCACATGATCTGATTGTAAGAGGAATGTGAAAATCAACTTCGACAGAATTTGGGGATTGTCCCTCAAATACCGAGGGCTGAAATAGTTAATCATTACACATAGCAATTGAAAAAGATCAATTAGTGATTATTCAGAGGAATAGTAGGCACAGAGGAACCAGTGTGGGCAAAGAGGAACATTAGGCACGGAGGCAAATCGATCGCAATTCTTACCAGGTCGTCCGGCAGCTGTTTCTCCGGGAATAACTTTTAGCACATCGATTTTATAACAATTTCTTTATGTCGAACATGAATCTCGTTTGCAGACTCGATTCCAGAATAGTCTGATAAAAAAAATTAAGCTAATCGAGAACGAACGTTGTCTATCCCTCATTCTTGTAAAGAGCTTTATGCAAATTTCTGTTGACGTTAATGAGCCCTTCCCGATAAAGTGTTACGCGACGACCCAAACGAAAGCTCTGCTTTATATTTATTGACTTCTGATGATAAACACGCTGTTTGTGGAACGGATTTGCCCCAAATAAACTTCTTTACCGAAAATATTTAGTGTTGTTCTTCTTTGTAGAGGAGACTTTCGATCACGTGCCTGGCAACGAAAAAGATCAAGTTTTACCGATATGCAGATATGGGACGACCCTTGGGGATTTCAGACACCGCCGTACGATGATACTCAAGGTATAACGGACATGAAAACGGGCAAAAACCACGGAAAGGAACTCAAGAACGTGTGAATGAATTTTTCACCTACTTGCTGCCAAAAAGCTGAACGTGAATGCACTACAACGATCTATTGCCAGCGTAATTCGATATTCCATTAGGCAAAAAAAAATATATATATATATATATTATAGTATCTTGACCGGCCAAAATTGGGGTTTGTCCGGGCTAAAAAATATTTGGCCGGTCATCAGGACCGGCGACCTGCTGTCCGATATTTTGAGCCCTGAAAAGACAACAACTTTCTTTTTCTTTTCGTGAACTTTGATGCAATCCTTTAGAATTCAACTCCAAACAAATTTGACTCATTAAACGAGATGGAATAAGCGCGATAAAGTTTGAGGCAGCGCAGATTCACTTTTTAAGTGACGTTTTCGTAGCCGTCGCCGTCGTCGATGCTAAAGCTCCCTAATGATGATGGTGGTGGCGGTCGTGATGATTTTGATGGTGATTTCGTTGGTGATGATGTTGGAAATGGTGTTTATGATGATGGTAATAGGAAGCTCAAGCAACGACGTCGGCTGTGAACACGTCGCTAAAAAATTATTGGCGTGCTTTTAAACTTCATCGCATCTATTCTAACCCGCTCAATATGTCAAACGGAGGCAATTTCTCCAGGGGTCAATTTCGTCAGGGCTTTATCCAGGTTCAAAAAGAGGAAGAAAAATTCGCCGTCGTATGTTCACGTCGCCCACAAAACGTCGCGTGAAGAGGTTTTCACGTCGTAGTCGCGCAGTGAACGTCAAAGAAATGTACTAACAAGTGTAATGCACGTGCAGAGCTGTTGTTTTTCTCATAAACCAATTGCTTTTGGACCTTTTCGTTGTCGCCTTCGTCGTGGCTGCTATGACGTTGGCGATAGTGCTGATGGTTATGGTCATGATAACAGTCACAGTAAAGATTAGGATTATGAAGCACGACCTTACTTTTTATTTATCTGAAGTGTTGAACGTACATTAGTCATACGAAGTGCACTGTACCAAACTGTAAATAGCCAAAAAATAAGTGTGTACATGGCGTTATTTAAAAGCTATTTTTTGTAACGACAGAAGCAGAACGGTTGTCAAATACTTGTTTTTAAAATCAATAGGACGATTGCAGGATGACGTCATTTTACTACAATTACCAGAATCCTTGAGTTTGTTGTTTTCTTCTGCAAATTAAGGCTATTGTTCTTTAATCCTCAGCAGGATTGATAAATTTAAATAACAAAGCAAAACCGAAATGAATTCTGGTATTTGTAGTCAAATATCGTCATCGTGCAATTGTCCTATTGTAGGTTGTTTTTTTTTTTTTTTTTTTTTAAACTAACCTTCGTGGTAAAGTTTATCTTATTAACACAAACTGCAGCGTTATTATACTCAGTCTTGGGAAAAAAATGTTACACAGAAAAAAATCAGTTTCATCAAAACTGAAGCCACTAAAAGTGGGGGAAGTTTAAGAGTACTGACCACTTAAGGGAAGTTTAAGAGTACTGACCACTTACAATATAAAGTCTTATCTTTAACTCTTACAGACAAAATATTGTGCGAGACGCTTTAACGACTTTCTTAGTTTCCGTCTGCTTCAGCCATAGAGATAGCTATAGTTTATGCTCAGTCTCGGGAAAAAAATGTTGCACAGAAAAGAATTACAGCAAAGCTGAAGCCGTACAAACGAAGAATGCGAAAATGAACGCCATCAAAGAACTTTTATGAATGGACCAGCCACCCCCTTGTTTCTGTAATTGCTTATTAGTACCATCGCTGCAGCGCACCAAAACAAACGCATGCGTCGAACTATCCATGTTGGCGTTGCTGGCAAAACGTGTATCCCTGCCAGGATCAAGCTCGTTTGTTGCGCGTATCACCAAGCCGTTATTAGGTACTCCACTACTCCAGTCCTTCACTGCATTCGTGACGTCAAACTCCACAAAACCTTTGGGTTGGTGCGGAAATATAGTGACAGTTCCTTGCTGGGGAGTTGCCTCAGCGTCGGTGCCATCCAGCGCTAGCCACGGAGAAGACCAAGGGATGCCACGGAGGCGCATTGTACTGGTCGTTTGAGATTCGTCCCATGGTTTTTTAACCAGGTACACTCGCAGATGGCGTGGAATAAAAGGAACAGTTTTGAAAGAACTACCACTTGCTTTGTGGGAATATTCATAGTACAGGTGCATTTTAGCTGAAAGTATATTTGATGATGGACACGAGCGAGGAAGATCTTCAAACTGGACCAATGAGCGCTTGTTGGGATATCCTGGGTGTTTGGATACTATAAGATATTCCAAACTGTTAAAGTTTACACTTCCCCTCTCTAACGTGACATCCTGAGTCACCCTGAGCTTGTACTCTTTACCGGCGCCTGTGTCAAATGTCATCACACCACGTGCAGGGGGAGGTACTAACGTCGCCATCAACAAGGCCATAACGCTCACTGCTGATTGTTCCATGCCCTAAACAAAAACATGCAATTTAATGGACAAATGAAAAAATCATTTGGTGACAAATCCTTCAGTGTGGCTGCGCCCACTTTATGGAACGCTCTTCCTGTTAGCCTCCGCAGCATCAAATGTATTTCTACTTTTAAATCTAATCTTAAAACTTATCTTTTTAAATTAGCTTTTAATATCTCTTAGATATCAAATATATTTGTATATTTCTAATATTTGTATTAATAGTTTTTAGGTTCTTTATTGTTGTAAGGCGCTTTTGACCACCTAGCATGTTAAAAAGCGCACTATAAATGAATAAATTATTATTATTATTACAAGGGCAAGGTCTTATATGAGGATATGTGAGAACTAGTTATTGCCTCTAAAGTGGAAAATTAACGCACGATTTCTGCAACTTCTCTAGATGTTGAATGGTAATATTTACATTATGGTTGACTCTAAGCAGGCTACTTGAGCGAAGAAAATCAGGGGCACCCAACGAGAGTATAGTTAAAAACCACTTAAACATAGCATTGTTAAACGTATTTTAGTATTTAAACGGTACATATAGGCATATTTTTATCCCCTAAAAATTTTTCATCTGTTCGGATTTCCTAGCTGAAAGTCTCGAGATTCGAAAACCATAGGGATCAAAACTTACCTTTTCAAAAATTTCAGCCAGAAAAAAGGCTCCCGAAAATTCTAGGTGAGCTTTTTAGGGAAAAAATCCGTTAAAAATGGGCAATTACACCAATTTTTAGATGTTCGAAAATCCTAGGAGAGGTAGGCAAGCAAGAAATTTTACAAAAAATGTTCCGAAAATTCTAGATGCCAAATCGTCTTCCGAACAGATATTTTCCGAAAAAAATTAGCGTATATATTGCCCCCTTCCGATTGTCCGCCATGTTCTCAAAAGTCATAATTTCTTTTGGCGATATGATAAATCTTTTATTGACCAAGCGTAAAGTCAAGATGGGATATTACCTTTCTTTGTCTTTTGTGCGACTCCTCCTCCATCCATACTAATAAAGATGCATAAAAACACCCGCCAATATCTAGTAAGATATTGACCTCACCCTTGGTCAATAACGCGTGTACTTTTACGCTTGCTCAGTATACAGAGGTTTAGACGACAAATATCAAGTCATTTGTCTTAAAAAATGAAAGTAATTAATCAAGTGGGTATATTAAGTAATACTCTTCTAAAAGCGACTTCTATTCTTAAACCAAAATTAGTTACTTAAGATGTTTCCTAACTTTAGTTAAAACCTAGTTGCGAAAGACTGAAACAATAGTCGTGATGTTTCCTGCACTAAACCGAGCTTATAACTCCTTTTTTTGAATTAACCTTATCTTATGTTTGTTTGTAAACTTAAAACTAACCCACGAACCCTGCTTGGGTATAACTATATTTAGTCTGTATTGTTTTGGATCACCGAGGCGTAAATTTTCTTACTATAGTTAGAGCGAAAAGAGAAGCGGTCAAATTACCGAAATAGCTAACTATAGTTATCCCCGTCTTAACCATAGTTAGTGAAATGACCGCAGCCAGTATTAGTCTTCTTCTCTTGTTTGGAGGCAAGCACACTTCCTTTCAAAAGAAAATCAAAGTTTTACTGGGAGGGACATTATCGTTTATTTAAGGAGCAAAAATGTTTCTTTTTTATTTAAAAACACTTTCTTGCGTCTGAAAAGTAAGGTTTTAAACAGGTTTTTGTTTCCCCTCTGACATGGAAATATGTACTTCTGCAATTATGCTTCCTAGATTAACATTCACTGTGCTGTAGACATTCTTCAAAGTGTGCAAATGCCTCGAAACAATGTCAAACCTTGTTCCTTACTTTAGTATCTCCAGGTGGAAAAACCCAAACACTCTAGACGAATGATTGAAATCGAGACCAATAGACCCTTCCTTTAGTTAGTATAGCTTCAAGCATTTACAGGTATGGTTTAACACTTACTTATAACCATTACACGGCCATGGCGAGTTTATTGCACAGTTTCTAGCTTGCTTAAGTCTAAATATTAAAACTCAATAGCTTCGTTACTTACCAGAAGTAAAAACAGGGAATAAGACTTCAATGCTGTTAAAAACTGGATCAGTCCGTTTTACTACTTATGAATGAAAGTACATTGATGCCACATCGATCTTTTACATCAGTGATGTCGTGATTCAGCATTTTTGACAGCATTATATTGTGCGGTTGTGAAGACATTTGATATAAGGCAGCTTAGCAACCACGACGGCAACGTTACCGTCAAAAGAGAGAGCGATACTCACTGTTTACAAACATTGAGTTTTTTTTATTGAAATGTGTAAACACGACGGCGACGACAATGACTGGTACCTCAAATAATAATAAAAAAGAACAACAATATTAGCGTTTCTAGGAGCCGATTACGTCACGTCGGCCATTTTGGCGTCCCTATACAACAAAACGGTGGCCATGTGGGTGTCTCAATAAATTTGCATGGCTGCTGGCCACGTGAGTGAAAACGTTCTAACAGCACACCTTTCGGTACATTTCTTTCACAAATTTCACGTTTTATGGTGAACGTGAACACAACACGATTTTTTTTTCGGTATTTCTCTTTCCTAAGCTTGGACTGAAGGACCCTAAGAATTCCACTCCAGAAAATTCGCTTACATTTGCAGACAAATTAAACGAAATGGAATCATGCGACGAAGTTTGCCAAAGCGTGAATTGTTCCTGCAGGCGATGGACGTCATTGTCGAAGTATAATAATGATCATGATGGCGATGATGCTGCAAATGGTGTTGCTGATGTTGGCAGTGATGATAATGGTCTTATTGGTGGTATGACGACGATAATGATGATGATGAATGAAAAACGCAATCAATTAAAACCACGGATTCATGATCAGATCCTCAAGCAAGTGGGGGAAGCTGCTCATCCACACCGTGATAAAAGGGGGCCTGACCTAGAAAATAATACTTCTTGACCATGCGCACTTCAGTTTGCCTTAAAAATAGGTTGGGGGCCCAGGCCCTCGTTCGGGCCCCTCTCCTAAATCTGCCAGTGAAAATGGTAATGTAACTGGCACGAAAGTGCTAATTGAGGACACTGTTTTTACATCTCCCACCAGAGATGGGACCGCCATTTCTACGTTGTCAGCTCAGCCATACAATTAAGGGAAGGCCTTGCCTTTAGATTAGGCTACGTAAAATGCGACCTTATGTCATTCATCCGTACATCACACGTACGTTGAATCCAGTTCAAGATTGGAAAAGAAGTAAGTATGTTTTGGCCATTTTGCAGTCCTGTGTCGAATCATACAATGAAACGGTTTTGGGGACAATTTTTGCCCCATTTTCCTGCGCAATCTCGTTCAGTGGAACCTCTCCTTTGGGACTCCTCTATTCAAGGGGCACCCCCATTCAGGGGACACGAGCACGGGACACAAGATTTGGTCCCGGAGAAATGTTCATATAATCTTTGTTTTAGTCGCCTCTATTGAAGAGACACCTCTATTCAGGAGAACGGGACACTTTTTCTGGGTCCCGAAACCTGAGTTTAACCTCTATTCAGGGATCGCCTTAGCAATTAAAGTACTTCAAAAGTGACTGACCACAAAAACGTCGATTTTAAGTGTTCATTAGTCACAGGGGCGACAGCTTTCAAAACATCACTCAATACATTATATAGCTGCTTTGAATAAAGACTGCAGCAGATTCTGTAGCCTGCGAGAGCAGAAGCCTTTATCGGCTCTAATAATAATACTTTATTTCTTGGTTAATTATCAACAAACCTCAGCCCAACCTCCATTCAAGAGACATCTCTATTCAAGGGGACATGTGCCTTGGTCCCGAGGGTGTCCCCTTTGTACAGGTTCCACTCAGAGTAATGGCCAATAACTGAGACGCAAGTCCTATATTGCAATTCGACAATACACCGACCCAGCCTCTAGCGCAGCAAATTACTCCATATTTAATCTGTTTTTGTTTCCTTTTAATTAACTCCTATTAGTAAAATTTGTCTTATGTACAACAAACAGCCTCATTACTGAGTGGTTGAGGGAATGTCCTACGGCAGTTTAATCCAGTTTCTTTAGCCTTTGACAATTTCTTGCCGTGAAACTTGACGCTGTAAATTACAAAATTACGGCTTCGTTACAAAAACATACTTCAATGCTTTGTCTCCTACTTCCGTATGTGCTGATTCTGTTGCTGCGTTCCATTCAAGTATTTGTAATATCTTACATATTGACGAATTATTTTTCACGTGACTAATAATTTTATTTGTATTTATTTATTTACTTGTTTTCATTTTGTTTATTTATTTCGCTGTCAATGTCATGAACTTCCGTGTACTGACCGTGCATTGCCAGATTAGTTCGCCACTGAGGCAATTATATCAGTTACAGATTAAAGAAGTCGTATAAGGCTGCTGTCGCGGGTTACTCATCACTGCAGTGCACCAAAACAAACGCATGCTTTGAAGTATCAGAATTGGCGTTACTGGCAAAGCGCGTATCCCTACCAGCAT